GCCGCAGGCAGGCTCCTGCTTTTCCCGCCTCCTCCTCCGTGCGCCTTCCTCCCGCCTGCTTATGTCCTGCTCCCGCCGCCCTTGCCCCCGGACCCTTATGCAATGGCAATCCTGTGAAGATTACTTACTATTAAAGGCTCCCCGATTACCAAGGCGTTCCCAAGGCAAAAATGAGCCCTAGGTGGCCTTGGAACCTAAAAGGAACGGGATAGGAAGCTTTTAATGAAATTTATTTGAGAGAGAAAGTGAGAGAAATACCACCCATTTATTGAATGCACACCACTCTGACTGGCGTACAGGATAAAGCATGAACCCTTTCAATTCCTCCAAAGTACACTCCCATGTAATAACATCAGTATGGTGGTACAATCAACTTGAGTGCAGTTAATATCTAAAGGAAAATGTTTATTTCGAAATAAAAAATTAATAGCATGTTCTTAGACAAGCCTGCTTTATATAATTCTGTGTTAAGTAATTTCCTAAATACTTCCAGATCCAAGTTACACCACACAAAGTTATGCCAATAGATTTTTTTGTGTATTGTCTCGGTAATCTTTACAACATCTCAATATAATGTCAACTGACATTATTATCCTCTTATTCAGGGCATAGAGGCAGGGGCTTAAAAGACAGTAGTTTGTCTAAGTGTGCGTAGTAAGCTTGTGACTGCGATAAGATTTCAGCCAAAGATGAACCACAGTCAGACACTTGGCTGCTGTTCTGGCTTGGTTATATCCTGAGAGGAGGGGAAAAGAATTCTTTTTTGGTTTGTTTGGATTGCAACTCATAGACCCCTGCAGCTAGCATATCTAAGATTTGTGCTGTTCTGGAACATGTAGTTGTTTTTTTTTAAAAAAATAACTTTCATATTTCTTTTTATGTCTCCTTAAATTGCCCTGCTGCCTCCCCTTCTTGCATCATTTAGAATACTGGATAATGTAACCATGATAAGAGGGTTAAGCTAAGGATAAAGTATGCAAATTGGATTATTGTGTGCATAGTAAACATTCATTTCTTTTAATAATAGAACATTTTCCTTGTAGAGAATGGGGTGGGGAGAACAGGGAGAATGCATGGAGATTCCCTTCCTTGTAGAGAATGGGGTGGGGAGAACAACAGGGAGAATGCATGGAGATTCCTTGCAATATAGTAGGTGTTCTTAGCTGAGAATGTGCCAGTAGAGATTAGTAGTGAGAATGTGCCTTTTGTGTAGCCATTCCACTAGATGTCTGGACTTAAATTTTATTTCAGTTTTATACTACTTTAGTAGTCATAGCTTCCCCTAAGGAATGTTAGGAATTGTTTAGTGAGAGAGCTGAAAATTATTTTTTTGAGAAATTCCTCTCTATCTCCTTGTGGAACTACCGTTCTTGATATTTCATTTCAAGTCAGTTATGTAGAAAGTCCCTCATACTGGAGATCCCAGAAGTAATAGGGCAGTCAAAGATTTCACATTCAGGCAAAATTACTCCATTACTTCTGGGACACCTGGTATATAGTACCAGATACATGCAGCATATTCTTCTGTTAGAGTATATATTATCATATTTACTTTTACTGTAAGAGTACCAAAGACACATATAGAATGTTAGCTACTGAGGTGAATGCCAAGTCCTTGTAGAAAATGCTTAGATAGGAAAATGGATGGAATATAAACATCAGTCACAGTGGTCTTCTCTCGTGGGGTTTAAAAACAAATTATATAGAGATTTAAGGGCAAAATCCTTTCCACCCCTTAAATTTCCTGTTCATTTTCATGCTAAAAGTTCTTTGATATAAAAGGGCAGAAACTGAACTCCAATGAACACGGCTGTGATTTGGTCAGTCCCACAGAGAACGAGATAGTAAAGAATGCATTAACTTGGCAGGTAACCATCAGGGGCAAATTTATTTCTTCCTTTGAGGCCTAAATGGAGATAAATTCTTCTTCCTGCCAATGTGGAGGAACAGTGCAATCCTTTTTTTGGCAAACGTCAGTGTGTTCAATCATAGCAGGATTATTCAAGTCCTTGGATGCAAACATTTCCCCTCTATTTCTTATACGGTTTCATGAAATCTTCCATATCCTCTTTCCCCATCAATTTGTTTGCTTGTTATGAAGTGTGGCCATTCCACACAAGGAGCCCCAAATGGCTTCCCTGTGATGTCAAATTCAGTGAGACCCACAAACACCATGAAAATATTAGTTGTAAGACTGTGGATATTTAATAATATAAAACTGCCAGCTAAGATCAGAAATTAAATGAACATAGCACTGCACTCCTTAACAAATAAATAGTCCTCCTATGTGTGCCCAAATATTAACAGTGTCATAGAGGGCTGACAGGAGGGATTTCTATAAATTATAGAAATGTGTCCTATCTTAATTACAACTCTGTCCTTCTTCCATAAAGCTCAAAGCAGCCTACCTGGACTTTCATTTTACTTTCACAACAACATCTTAAGGAAGGAGAGGGCAAGAGGTTATGATGTGCCTAAAGTCCACCTCCTAAATTTAATGGCTAACCAGGGATTTAAACACAGGTTTCACCACTCAAGTTCACCTACGCCAGCTAAGAAACATAAAGCAATTTATGTTTATTGTTTTTGTTTTGTTGTTCATGTTGTGTTTAATGTTCATTCTAAAAACAATAACCAATTGGGTCAGTAATGGGGCCATGCTTGACTTATGGAGAAAGAAAAAGTGAGGCATATCCAATTTATATGTTGTAATTGTATGGGATTCAATTGCCATGATCCAGAGAGCAACAGCACAGTAAAGTTTAGCTTTACATATAGCCATAGTCTTAAAGAGAACGCGCAGACAGAGTTTGGACTTTTTGATTCCTTTTTCCATGATCTTGGAAAGAAAGGATTCTACAGGACTCTATAGGCCACACAAAAACTATGATTTTCATAACTTCGTGACCAGGTGAATATTAGTGGCACTCTTGGGGTCCAGTTGCTGACACAAAATGGTGGCATCCAGCAAGATCAAACAGTTATTCTTGATGGGTAAACTACCTGTATTGATTATAGATTTTGGTATACATCAATATGAGGAGAGAAAAAAATTAGCAACAGGATTTTGGACATTCAATTAGAAAGTATATATTTATCTAAAAATGCTTTAATTTCCCCCCTTTCTTTCAGCACTTACAGAATCCTGCCAACTTCCACAATGCAGCTACAGAACTCCTGGACTGGTGTGGTGATCCAAGAGCGTTCCAGAGGCCCTTTGAACAGAGTCTGATGGGCTGTTTGACGGTATGTCAGCCCTAGTACAGTATTTCTGCACTAGCATTTGTAGGATGTACAGTCTGTAGGATCTGTGGTGTAATAATGTACAGTATATTTTAAAAGTTTGTCCATGGTGTGGGATAATATGCCCAGGTGGAGGGTGGGTTATATGCAGTGTTTTCTTATCTTATTTTTTTTATATACTTTTTAAAATCTGATAGTATTCGAGAACCTGACAAGTGATGGCTGAGCTATTTAAAAGATGGAAAAGTGGAGGAAAACCAAACAGTATAACTCGCAGGCATTCTCAGCAGTAGTTGGGAAAACAGAGTTATGAACAAGTACTAATTATTCTATTTTCTGGGTGAAGAGACTGTTACAGACATGCTGAGTTCTATATTTAGAAAAAAAGCCCCGTTGTACATGTAAAGTAGAATTCTGTTTTGAGCATTTAGGAAAGGAGGACGTAGAATATTTCATTGGCATTCCCTCTTACTCCTGTTGACATGGGGGAGGGAATGGGAGAAATACAGTTATATTAAATATATAAAAGATATGGTATGAAGACAAACATAGTAAAATGTGATGTACACACCTGCGAGCTGGTTTCACATGGTGGCTAAGAGTGTGTGTGGTGAGACAAAATGTTCCCAGGTTTAAATTCACCTCAGACATAGGTTGATTGGGTGGCCGTGGAAGCCACTATTCTTCTATCTTCATTCCTATACAATGTGGAGGAACATAGATACTGTCATGACACAGGAGTAGTCCCACTGTGCCTTTAATTTAAAATGTGGTCCTTTCAGCTTCCATCCTTATCACGTCTTCCTGTTCAGCAGTAGGAATGGCAGAGTGAGATTGGGAACTAAATTAATATACTAGTTTATTCTGTTATTTGCTTTCCCTTTGTAGTATTATTTGGATATGGAAGGAAGAAAGAAAAAAAGAGAAACCATTAAAGAAAACTAGTAGTTTAACATGTCCATACTGAGTAATAAAACTTGAAGATTTTAAGTGGGGTTCATCACTAATCTTGTAGCCACTCTGATGAGGAAGTAATAAAATGGGCAGAATTTTCCATGAAGAGACTTGTAATTGACACTGCAGAAAGCCATTGTTGAACAGTAAACATTCCAGAAATACCTTGGCCAATAGGGAAGGGTATTTCTGTTCAGAATAATGTTAAATAAAGTGCTGTGTGAAATCTCTGTTTGAATTACACTTCCAACTAATTGTGGAAAAGCAAGATCACAACAGCATCAAATGGCACTGTTTTGGAAACAGCCCTAATTAATTTTTTGCCAGTTCATTGTCTTATAAAAAGTTACTCCATGGTTACTTGTTCTTCCTTCATGTGTGTACGTATGTATTGCTAAAAAGGGGGTGAAATTAAATAAAATGAACATTTAACCTTCACATGTTAATTCTTCCACCACTTCTGGAAAAATGCATTCTTTTGTGTGTGTGTGTGTGTGTGTGTGCGTGCGTGTGTGTGTGTGTGTGTGTGTGCGTGCGTGTGTGTGTGTGTGTGTGTGTGCGTGCGTGTGTGTGTGTGTGTGTGTGTGCGTGCGTGTGTGTGTGTGTGTGTGTGTGCGTGCGTGTGTGTGTGTGTGTGTGTGTGCGTGCGTGTGTGTGTGTGTGTGTGTGTGCGTGCGTGTGTGTGTGTGTGTGTGTGTGCGTGCGTGTGTGTGTGTGTGTGTGTGTGCGTGCGTGTGTGTGTGTGTGTGTGTGTGCGTGCGTGTGTGTGTGTGTGTGTGTGTGCGTGCGTGTGTGTGTGTGTGTGTGTGTGCGTGCGTGTGTGTGTGTGTGTGTGTGTGCGTGCGTGTGTGTGTGTGTGTGTGTGTGCGTGCGTGTGTGTGTGTGTGTGTGTGTGCGTGCGTGTGTGTGTGTGTGTGTGTGTGCGTGCGTGTGTGTGTGTGTGTGTGTGTGCGTGCGTGTGTGTGTGTGTGTGTGTGTGCGTGCGTGTGTGTGTGTGTGTGTGTGTGCGTGCGTGTGTGTGTGTGTGTGTGTGTGCGTGCGTGTGTGTGTGTGTGTGTGTGTGCGTGCGTGTGTGTGTGTGTGTGTGTGTGCGTGCGTGTGTGTGTGTGTGTGTGTGTGCGTGCGTGTGTGTGTGTGTGTGTGTGTGCGTGCGTGTGTGTGTGTGTGTGTGTGTGCGTGCGTGTGTGTGTGTGTGTGTGTGTGCGTGCGTGTGTGTGTGTGTGTGTGTGTGCGTGCGTGTGTGTGTGTGTGTGTGTGTGCGTGCGTGTGTGTGTGTGTGTGTGTGTGCGTGCGTGTGTGTGTGTGTGTGTGTGTGCGTGCGTGTGTGTGTGTGTGTGTGTGTGCGTGCGTGTGTGTGTGTGTGTGTGTGTGCGTGCGTGTGTGTGTGTGTGTGTGTGTGCGTGCGTGTGTGTGTGTGTGTGTGTGTGCGTGCGTGTGTGTGTGTGTGTGTGTGTGCGTGCGTGTGTGTGTGTGTGTGTGTGTGCGTGCGTGTGTGTGTGTGTGTGTGTGTGCGTGCGTGTGTGTGTGTGTGTGTGTGTGCGTGCGTGTGTGTGTGTGTGTGTGTGTGCGTGCGTGTGTGTGTGTGTGTGTGTGTGCGTGCGTGTGTGTGTGTGTGTGTGTGTGCGTGCGTGTGTGTGTGTGTGTGTGTGTGCGTGCGTGTGTGTGTGTGTGTGTGTGTGCGTGCGTGTGTGTGTGTGTGTGTGTGTGCGTGCGTGTGTGTGTGTGTGTGTGTGTGCGTGCGTGTGTGTGTGTGTGTGTGTGTGCGTGCGTGTGTGTGTGTGTGTGTGTGTGCGTGCGTGTGTGTGTGTGTGTGTGTGTGCGTGCGTGTGTGTGTGTGTGTGTGTGTGCGTGCGTGTGTGTGTGTGTGTGTGTGTGCGTGCGTGTGTGTGTGTGTGTGTGTGTGCGTGCGTGTGTGTGTGTGTGTGTGTGTGCGTGCGTGTGTGTGTGTGTGTGTGTGTGCGTGCGTGTGTGTGTGTGTGTGTGTGTGCGTGCGTGTGTGTGTGTGTGTGTGTGTGCGTGCGTGTGTGTGTGTGTGTGTGTGTGCGTGCGTGTGTGTGTGTGTGTGTGTGTGCGTGCGTGTGTGTGTGTGTGTGTGTGTGCGTGCGTGTGTGTGTGTGTGTGTGTGTGCGTGCGTGTGTGTGTGTGTGTGTGTGTGCGTGCGTGTGTGTGTGTGTGTGTGTGTGCGTGCGTGTGTGTGTGTGTGTGTGTGTGCGTGCGTGTGTGTGTGTGTGTGTGTGTGCGTGCGTGTGTGTGTGTGTGTGTGTGTGCGTGCGTGTGTGTGTGTGTGTGTGTGTGCGTGCGTGTGTGTGTGTGTGTGTGTGTGCGTGCGTGTGTGTGTGTGTGTGTGTGTGCGTGCGTGTGTGTGTGTGTGTGTGTGTGCGTGCGTGTGTGTGTGTGTGTGTGTGTGCGTGCGTGTGTGTGTGTGTGTGTGTGTGCGTGCGTGTGTGTGTGTGTGTGTGTGTGCGTGCGTGTGTGTGTGTGTGTGTGTGTGCGTGCGTGTGTGTGTGTGTGTGTGTGTGCGTGCGTGTGTGTGTGTGTGTGTGTGTGCGTGCGTGTGTGTGTGTGTGTGTGTGTGCGTGCGTGTGTGTGTGTGTGTGTGTGTGCGTGCGTGTGTGTGTGTGTGTGTGTGTGCGTGCGTGTGTGTGTGTGTGTGTGTGTGCGTGCGTGTGTGTGTGTGTGTGTGTGTGCGTGCGTGTGTGTGTGTGTGTGTGTGTGCGTGCGTGTGTGTGTGTGTGTGTGTGTGCGTGCGTGTGTGTGTGTGTGTGTGTGTGCGTGCGTGTGTGTGTGTGTGTGTGTGTGCGTGCGTGTGTGTGTGTGTGTGTGTGTGCGTGCGTGTGTGTGTGTGTGTGTGTGTGCGTGCGTGTGTGTGTGTGTGTGTGTGTGCGTGCGTGTGTGTGTGTGTGTGTGTGTGCGTGCGTGTGTGTGTGTGTGTGTGTGTGCGTGCGTGTGTGTGTGTGTGTGTGTGTGCGTGCGTGTGTGTGTGTGTGTGTGTGTGCGTGCGTGTGTGTGTGTGTGTGTGTGTGCGTGCGTGTGTGTGTGTGTGTGTGTGTGCGTGCGTGTGTGTGTGTGTGTGTGTGTGCGTGCGTGTGTGTGTGTGTGTGTGTGTGCGTGCGTGTGTGTGTGTGTGTGTGTGTGCGTGCGTGTGTGTGTGTGTGTGTGTGTGCGTGCGTGTGTGTGTGTGTGTGTGTGTGCGTGCGTGTGTGTGTGTGTGTGTGTGTGCGTGCGTGTGTGTGTGTGTGTGTGTGTGCGTGCGTGTGTGTGTGTGTGTGTGTGTGCGTGCGTGTGTGTGTGTGTGTGTGTGTGCGTGCGTGTGTGTGTGTGTGTGTGTGTGCGTGCGTGTGTGTGTGTGTGTGTGTGTGCGTGCGTGTGTGTGTGTGTGTGTGTGTGCGTGCGTGTGTGTGTGTGTGTGTGTGTGCGTGCGTGTGTGTGTGTGTGTGTGTGTGCGTGCGTGTGTGTGTGTGTGTGTGTGTGCGTGCGTGTGTGTGTGTGTGTGTGTGTGCGTGCGTGTGTGTGTGTGTGTGTGTGTGCGTGCGTGTGTGTGTGTGTGTGTGTGTGCGTGCGTGTGTGTGTGTGTGTGTGTGTGCGTGCGTGTGTGTGTGTGTGTGTGTGTGCGTGCGTGTGTGTGTGTGTGTGTGTGTGCGTGCGTGTGTGTGTGTGTGTGTGTGTGCGTGCGTGTGTGTGTGTGTGTGTGTGTGCGTGCGTGTGTGTGTGTGTGTGTGTGTGCGTGCGTGTGTGTGTGTGTGTGTGTGTGCGTGCGTGTGTGTGTGTGTGTGTGTGTGCGTGCGTGTGTGTGTGTGTGTGTGTGTGCGTGCGTGTGTGTGTGTGTGTGTGTGTGCGTGCGTGTGTGTGTGTGTGTGTGTGTGCGTGCGTGTGTGTGTGTGTGTGTGTGTGCGTGCGTGTGTGTGTGTGTGTGTGTGTGCGTGCGTGTGTGTGTGTGTGTGTGTGTGCGTGCGTGTGTGTGTGTGTGTGTGTGTGCGTGCGTGTGTGTGTGTGTGTGTGTGTGCGTGCGTGTGTGTGTGTGTGTGTGTGTGCGTGCGTGTGTGTGTGTGTGTGTGTGTGCGTGCGTGTGTGTGTGTGTGTGTGTGTGCGTGCGTGTGTGTGTGTGTGTGTGTGTGCGTGCGTGTGTGTGTGTGTGTGTGTGTGCGTGCGTGTGTGTGTGTGTGTGTGTGTGCGTGCGTGTGTGTGTGTGTGTGTGTGTGCGTGCGTGTGTGTGTGTGTGTGTGTGTGCGTGCGTGTGTGTGTGTGTGTGTGTGTGCGTGCGTGTGTGTGTGTGTGTGTGTGTGCGTGCGTGTGTGTGTGTGTGTGTGTGTGCGTGCGTGTGTGTGTGTGTGTGTGTGTGCGTGCGTGTGTGTGTGTGTGTGTGTGTGCGTGCGTGTGTGTGTGTGTGTGTGTGTGCGTGCGTGTGTGTGTGTGTGTGTGTGAGAGAGAGAGAGTTTCTTGTTTGTTTCCATCAGGGAAGAGATTCCCAAAAATATTCAAGTATAATTCAGCATAGGCTCTGTAATGGAGAGTGGTGTAAAGAGGGATGGTGTAAAGAGGGATGCCAAACAAGTTAAAACAAGTGATCCGTTGCAGTTTTCAGACAAAGTAAGAGAGGGATGCGTGCAGGTTACAAAGAGAAATAAGTTTGTTATTTTTCAAGAAGAGCACAAAATAGTATGCTGATTGCTCAATGTGGTTTCCTTCAGTCAATACTCAGTGTCACATCAGACCCGTGTTTGCACTTTTTAAACCGCTCCTTGCAGCCTCTGCTCTTCCATTCTCTTGTTGCCTATTCCCCATCCTCTCCTTGGTTCTCAAAGCTTCTCTTCAGTTTCCCTGACAGTGCTAGCCACACCACCTCATTTTCTTCCACATCCACCTGCCTTCAATGAATTATTCATTTGGTTTTTCAATCTGTGATATTTTCATTTTCCTGCCATGGGCTCCTCTTCTTGCAGGTATTAGCTAGAAGGGAGAACATTTGCATGTGCATGCATTCATTTGTGGAGACACTCCTCCATACCTCCTCCCTGTGACAGCTTATCATCTTGCTTGATAGTTATTTTTAACAGGAGCCATCTTATTAGCTGAGCCAGAGTCAGCAAGATTGTCTGTGTCCACAGGTTCAGCTCTTAAGCTAAGAGAAGGGTCTGGTTAACCTTTTTTTTCTCTACGGTAAAAAGCAGTAGTGGCACTGTACCAGCTCACTCTTGTTGACCTTGTGTCTCAAGTCATCTAAAGCTGACTGAAATCAGGCAGTAAACTATAACTAGAGAAGGCCCACTGAATGACTGGAATTTACAGAGGAATAGACTCACCAAATCCCCACTGATTTAAAGGGGCCTACTTTATTTGTGATTTACTACTGGATTTTGGCCACTGAGTCATACCGTTGACATCCGTAACCCAGTATTGTCAACTTTGATTGGTAGCAATGGCTCTCCAGGATTTCAGGAAAGATTCTTTGCTAGCTGTGTCTCAAGACCCCCAATATTCTCCCATTCAAATGCGGATGGGGCTTGACCCTGCATAACTTCCAAAATCAGCTGAGATCAGTGGGTTTAGGGTAATATGCCTGGCAAAGGAAATAGTGAGGTGTGTATGATGATGGAAGGAACTTCACCTAACCTTTAGTTGCTGTCTATAGTGGAGGAGAAAGGATAGAGTGCCCTTTGCCTATGCCTTGGGTTGTGAGAAGGCAGATAAATTGCATGAGAACAGAGGAAGAGACACCGGACTCAGAGGCTATGCTGGAGATCAGTTTTGGCTTCAGTTTTTGTTTGATGGTTTAATGGTTTAAAGGCCAGCCCTTCTCTAAGTGCAGAATAATGAAGGCAAACTGTTTTTATAAGGATGTTTAAAGGTTCCAATCTCATAAAGCAGCAAATTGAGCATTCTTTTGTCAAATGCTGCCAACATTTCCACTAGTTTAATTGAGTTAGAATGCAGCACATTGGTTGCAAATGTAGTGCATTTAATTAATGGTAGAAGACAGAAGGCTCATAGCTCAGTAGCACAGCACATGACATGCATGCAGAAACCCCCAGGTTCAGCATTGGTTTTCTCCAGGTAGGATGGGAAAAGGCTGAAGCCCTGGAAAGCCACAGCTAATCAGTACAGTCAGAATGGGGAACATGTGGGCCACCAGATGTTGAAATTCAGAATGCTCTGTAAGATGGAGTCCTGGTCAGATCTAGTTAGGGCAGTTTTAATTAATGATAGGTACATGAGCTGAGCAAGGGACGTGGTGGCGCTGCAAGCTAAACCACATAAGTCTTTGTGTGCTGCAGGATCAGAAGACCAGCAGTTGTAAGATCGAATCCATGCGATGGAGTGAGCTCCTGTCGCTTTGTCCCAGCTCCTTACCAACCCAGCAGTTCGAAAGCATGTAAATGCGAGTAAATAAATAGGTACCATCTCGGTGGGAAGGTAAACAGCATTCCGAATGTAAGTCGCGCTAGCCACATGACAACGGAAACTGTCTTCGGACAAACACTGGCTCTATGGCTTGGAAACAGGGATGAGCACCGCCCCCTAGAGTCAAGCACGACTGACTAAGATGTCAAGGGGAACCTTTACCTTTTTACATGAAGTGAGCACTACAGTGGTGCTATATAGGATGTATATTGCAGTTGGGGCAGAAAATATTTCTAGATCTTGACCATGGTTCAAGTGGAAACGTGAATGTTGTGTAATTTCCTAAACAAATGGGAATCAGTTGAAATAATGTGATTCCTTTTACTAATTAAATTAGCCCTATTTTGTTTGCGGATTCCATCCCACATAAGTCAACACAATTGTAGATCAAGGTTCTGTCATTTGGGTTCTATAACTTCAACATGGAGTGTTTGTATTCTAGTTTTTAAAATATCTGTTAATTAGTTTATTTTTTTAACTGGTTTAATTCCCAAAAGGTGTAGAATGTTTTAGAAAAGCCCTCTTATTAGCAATTGACAATAATTTTCCTTCTGTAGATACTCCACCAGGCTCTCTCAACATGAAGCCAATCTTCATTTGCTCCCAAACATTTTCAGGCTTTGAAGCATTGATAGGAGGGCACTCAAAACAATGTTTAAATCAGGTCACAGAGTCATGATGGGCTCTCCTCTTTATTTTGGGAAAGTGTGTATCGTACTGTATAAGAATTAAGTGTTTGCTAGTTTCAGTTATGCTTTCATATTAATGGGTCATTTATATGAGAAACTTTTAACAGTCTGATTGCATTGAAAGAGTGCTTTCCAGCAGTTCTCCCTGACTGAAAAGTTATTTATTTTTCTGACTTAGATTACTAGTTTCCACACTTCCTATTTGCAGGGAACACAGTACACACTGCCTCCACTGTCAAGGCACTAGTGCACTTCTGTTTTGGATAACGTGCGGGTTGCAGAAGGGGGTAGAACATTCTGTAGTGCATAACAGATACTATCCGGTCTGTTAAGCCTCATTTTGCATATATTGAGAGTGTACCCCACAGCAGCCATTCTCAACCTTCTTTTAATCATGGCCATAAACACAATATGAAAGAAATATAGGCGGAATCAGGATTGCATAAGTTGCATAACAAACCTTATAAGGTGGTGTGTGAACAATTGTTCTGGTGTGTGAAGAATTGTTCCCAGTCTGTGATCCCCTTCAGATGTGCCAGGGCCCTCGTTGAGAATGTCTGAGTCTGTGATCCCCTTCAAATGTGCCAGGGCCCTCGTTGAGAATGTCTACCCCACAGCATGCGCCTATATAAGCCAGGGGAATTTCATTGCAGTGGACAAGCTGTTTTTCAAAAAAATAAATAAATTGTGTGCCATGACAGATCTTCTCGCTGAGAAACTGCTAATAAGCTTATGTAGAATGCCTTGACTACCCAGAATGTAGCTTGAAAACCAGATGTTGAGATTAACAGGACAGGAGTGGATGAGCCATTGGGTGTAAATTGCACATTATTATACCACTGGCTTGATGAAGCAAAAGGGTTATGTTTGCCTGAATTTAGTGCTCACTAAAGATTTTTGAGATCTAAGTTGGAAAGTTGAAATACACCCCACCCCACTCCCACACAGGACTTACGGTGAAATGAACAGGAGTTATACAAGAGTACTGTTGCTCTCTTGCACATCTCTCTATCTTGAGGCCTACACAGGAGGAATTCCCAGTGGGTTACAACCAGTAGTTCTGCTAGCATCCTTCTCTTCTGCCAGAGTTATGGTACCCAAATCCACTGTATGAGGCGTCCTGAGAGGGGGGCTCTCTCTTGCTGAGTTCAGGTTGAATACAAGTTAAACTTTCCTCTCAGAGTTACTTGCAGTGTAAATGTATTGTGACCTTGGTATATTGTGACATCATAGTACAGTATGCCACAATTGCTTGGTTCCATTTAAGACTGACTTCTTTAAGGCATTAAAACAGGTTGCCTTTACAAACAAGAAACTGCAGCTGGTTTGGCATATAGCTACCAGATAACTAACTACAGCTGTTTGTTTTGAACACATGGTTTCTCTGCTCAAAGAAATTCACTGACTAGCAGTCTGTTTTTAAACACTGCATAATGGCTTTTACTTTTAAACCTTGTATGACTTGAGAGTCAGGCACCGGAAAGAATCTTGTATCCATATCAACTGGCTAGTGTTATTGAGATTATTTTCGGTCACACATACACACCCAGGTGAGGAGGAGGCACTGGTTTGTGCTGGTGCTTTAGTAGTGATAAGGAATCCTTTGCACTTTGGAAACTCAGCTGAAAATGTTCTGACCCTTTTAATGTGTCAGTCTAGATTGTATTCTTATTATATAATATCTGAAGATTAATTCCTCCAGAGTATAAGTGCTATAAAATTCAGGGTGGGAAAAGAACAAAGAGTACAGATACCATAACTCCTACTCTATAGCCCTTTGCCTTTAAAAAATCTTCCTAATATTCTGCCAGATCAAGCAGAGTAACTAGGAAGGCTGAATTCATCCCTACTCTTAAACCACGGAAAGAATTTTGCTACTCTCCATTCTTTGTGCTAGGAAATTTTGTAATGTGAGAGGCTAGTTCATAGAACTGTAAATGTAGTGGTGCCTTGACTTACAAACGTCCTGACATACGACCATTTCAAGTTGGGACCAGTTGCGGCCGGAGCTTCCAGTTATGAACAAAAAAAGGCAGGGAATTCAACTTGCTAACCATTGGTAGGCATGGAGGCTGCTTCTTTGTAGCTCTTTCGCCACAGCGGTTAGAGAGAGTATGATCGGAGGAGGCCTCAGACTGCCTGGCAAGGTAAGGTGCTGCTTTCCGCTTTTTAAAAGCTGTTCTGAGTGGGGTTTGCAGCGTGGTTTTGGGCTGGGTGGTGGGATTATGTTTCTATGCTGTGATGGGTCTTGCAGGGTTTGCTTTTTGGTTTCTTTTTACCCCATTTCCAATGGGTCTTGTGGGATTTGTTTGTTTCTTGGGTTTTTTTCCCCATTTTCGATGGGTCTTGGGGGGTTTGTTTGCTTTTTGGTTGTTGTTTTTCCTCATTTCCGATGGGTTTGTTTGCTTTTTGCTTTTCTTTTCTTTTTTGCATTTCCGAAGGGTTTTGCTGTGAGGCCCCCACACAGGAGGCCTATGTAGGAGTGCCGTCGCTCCCGTCGCGGACCCAAAATACTCAAACCTCTCCCCCTCCTTCCCCACCCCGACATGAGGATAAACAAGTGAACACAAACGAGTTGGGGGATTTACCTGAAGTCAGGGGGTCGATGGATATAGGAGTTGATACCAGCGACTTGATACAAACACTGAAGGGGTTAACCCTGTCACCTGGACCCAGGAAAGATTTGGCAGGAAGAAAAAAGGAGGAGATAGAGGCGGCGTCCGTGGATATAAAAGGGAAATAGGAAGAGATCCGGGGGGGCTGGGAATGGATCTGCGTTGAGGATCCTTGGACTGGGAAGTGGGAGCAGATAAGGGTGCCTCATGAGGAGACAGAAAGGAGAAGGCATCAAGGTCTGAAACCTCGACCCTCATATTGGGGGGAAACAGACGCGAAGGAATGGTGGCGTAAGTTGAGGGAGGAAAGAAGCCATGGCTAAAGAAATTGAAAGGAAGAAAGCATGGCATCTGGCGGAGTTACAGAAGATGGGGGTTTACCCGGGCCATGGTTGGCAGACACCGGAGGGGGGTTGTCCGTATGGGGATGGAGCGGCAACGAGGAGACACTTCCCTTGATTTTTCCCGAAGAAGAAATCACAGAAAGTCAGGTGCCAGTGAAAGGTGTAACTGGACCTTGGACTATGGAGGACAGTAACCCGTTCGTTGGAAGTTTATGGACACCCTTGCGACCCGGTTTGGAGAGGCAAGAGCCGTTGAAAGTAGTTACCCATGACATTCCTGTTGTTGTTGGAGTTCAAATAAATACAGAACCAGTTGGACAGTTTAATCCGTCTCACTCTTTATTGAAAGTGACTGACCCCCCTAACAACGAACCCTCACACTTGCACAGTTTCTTTGCTTTCTGCTTAGCTTTTTTGCATTTCCGGAGGGTGTTGCATGGTTTTTTTGCTTTTCTTCCCCCCCCCCCCTTTGGCCGGAATGGATTAATCATGTTTCCAATGGATCTTGCAGTGTTTTGTTTACTGGTGATTTTTTCTTCTGCCGGAACGGATTAATTGCATATCAGTGCATTCCTATAGGAAATGGTGCTTCAAGTTACGATCATTTCGAGTTAAGACCGGAGTTCCAGAACCAATTAAGTTCGTAAGTCGAAGCACCACTGTATTTTGTTCCCTGATGCTCAGAAAAGACCATAACATCATATTTTATTTTTCTGAAATTCATTTTGAAATCTGTTACTTTAGTAACCGCTGGCCTGAATCCAGTTAATGACACAATGTTTGTGAAGCTCCTGGTGGTGCAAAGGATTGCACTTCTACCATGCCTGTCAATGAGGCATTCCAGGTTCCTTGTGTCAGCAGTTTCTGGCAGTGCAGTGATCCCTCTGACATGGATAGTCAGGTGCCCAAGCTCACCCCCCCCACACAAGAGCCACTGCTTGGGTGCTTATCACTCTGGCCCTCCACCTCCTCCTTCCCTCTTGCCCAGATCCTGTAGAACTCCATCACTGGAGCTTTATGTTCAGGGGAATAAAGTAGGATTGTGGCTATTAAAAATAAGTTGTAAAATATTTGCATTGTGTTAGCTACATGTATATCAGGCCTATAAAGGGACGCTTGCCAGATTCTCTGAAGTGAACTGAGAATAACCTTCTACAACAAGGCATTGGAGCAGACTTTGTGGGAAGCAGTTTTGCTTTGGCATGGTTTGACAACTGCTTTAACAGCAGGGGACTAGTAAGTTTTGCAGTTTTGATTGATAGCCAAGTTGTGTTGTTCTGATTCTGCTCTGCTGAAAATCCTAACTATGTCACTTCTGTCTGTAACCTGCTGTCAGATTTGAGTGCTCTTTCTGCTCTAGTTTGCCATGTATACATGACTAATGTGTTTATTTCCACAGTTCTTTGTTGAATGTAAAAAATGCAATATTTGAAGAAAGGTAGTTTCCCAACAATTTCTGTTCAGAAAAGTTATCCCGAAACTAAAGTCAGAAGGCTATTGGCATCATCTGTTTGTTAAGGAGCTTTTATAAAATACTGTACACTTAAAAGTTTCAAGTTGATAGGCAACAAACAATATACAGTTTAAATCAATATATAAAAGAATACAAAATTACATTATTCATGAGTAAATATGTCAATCTCCACTTATTTCATTCCTGTAGGATGGAATGAGTCATTCCAAAGTTTTCTCTCTGCAGGGTGAAATTATGAGAATTGTGTGTATGCCAGCTGTACATATTTTGCATTTTGTTTCTTTCGAGGAAGTATTTTGGTGCAGAAAATTTTATATTTTATGTGAAATGTAAGGGTTTTTTTCTGCAAAATCCGTTTTGTAAAAAATTAATACCAATCCAAAACCAGCTGGAATTTGTCTCCTTGTAGTAGTTGCTCAGTTTTAGGGCAGGATGTCCAAATGTGTCAAGGATCCTTTTAAAATAGTTCTCAAGTTGCTGCAGCTTTCTATACTTAAAACTACAACAACACTCCTTTAAACGTTACCTGTTAGCAAATAGGTATCTAATGCAGTTGTTTCAGCAAAGATATTATTTGCCACCAGTAAGTTGCCCCATTTAAAAATCTAGCTGAAGTATTCTATTCCATCTATAGCTTCCAGACAAGGCTCCCTTCGTAAAGTGTGGTTCGATAATCCAATCTTAATATACCTATTTTTTTTTAACCACTGAGACTAATCTATCCCAATCCAACAATGGCTGTCTTGGCACACCAGCCAAAGCTGATAAAAAGCACTTTGGTCCACTGAGGCCACGGAATATATTTCACATTTTCACACTGCATCAACTGGCATGCTCAAAATAAATTACTAGATCTTTTGAAGACATATGTTGCATCATTTAGCTTTTTGACATATTAGAGGCTAAGAAATGGAGGATGGACATGTAAGTCACACATCCAACATATACCCCCTAAAAACACTTAGAGCTTCACACACATTCATTGTGAATGTTTGATAGCAAGGCTTCCCAAAGTGTGTGTGCCATGACACACTGCGGCCTCTGTGGCACCCCACGCTGCACCAGGGCACCGCCAAACACAACTAGCAGGGCGCCAGAATGTTCTCTGTTTCTCTACACCAAGGCGGCACTGCTGCTGCTCCAGTTCTGGCTCCTTCAAGCTTCTTCACTTTCTGCTGCACTCTACACCCCTCATTGCTCCTCCTGTTCTGCCGCCACCACTCAAGGTAGCCAGAAGTTGGAAAAGTTTTGGAACCTCTGGTCTTTAAGTGCATCTCCTGAATGTGCTTACTGAGGTTCTGTATTGAGAGTCCTGCCATATGAGAGTTCCTAATCACATGCAACCTGTAAGCATTTTCAGATGTGCATGCTTCCAGGTCCCTTATGCTCAAAGCTTGATTTCTGGGTGGACAGATGTTGAAGTGGGACTTACTTTCATCCTTATATCTTCACCACACTTTTAAAGCCCTATGTTGTTTCAGGTTGTAACATCTGAACAGGACTATTCCTGTTTTGTTTGGACAAGGCTTAAATAATTGAGAACAGCGTACAGTGTGATTGGGGCAAGAATTATGGGGCTTGAGTTGAAGAATTCCATGATAATTGAGTGGGTTGTCTCATTTGTGGCAATGACAGTAGCCTTTGGGTATCTTGCTTACAAAACATTATTCAGCAATGACAAATGCTGTAATGATATGGTAAACCTCCATAATCAGAAAGATAATCCCAAGGTAATTCATGCATTCAAGATGGAAGATTTGAGGGACAAAGCTGGGTATTGCCAATGTTGGAGGTCTAAGAAATCCTCATTATGTGCCAGCTGTCATTAAAAGCAAAATGATGAAACAGGAGACAATATAGGACCTCTGTTCATCAAGAGGAAAGATGCTTAAAGAGCAGATGACCTGAATAAGCAAGGTTGTCAAAGTGCTTTCTGCTCACCTGTAATTGGTGTGAAATTTAAGTTTTATGTCATTTCGCTAAACACTTTTTCAACAGTACACTGAATTCATGTTGTTCACCTTGCTTAATGCACTACAACATTTATGCTAGGCATAAATATGATTTGCTGGCTTTTTGCTGTGTAAAGTGTACATTCTTATAAGTCTTAAAAACCAGTCTTTAGAATATACTCTGAAGTGTATATTTTGGGATGGTACATGATTTTTTAAAATAGTAACAATAATAAAAATCATAATAGAATAGAGAAAAGAAAGAAGAAAGAGAATAAGAAACAAGTACAATGCCTTTTGATATACTGTACCCTCATACATCCACTAGCAGCTTACATGGGGGAGTATTAATGTGATATTAGAATTACTTCTGCCTATTAGAATTACTTCTGCCTGTGAGTTTCCCCTGAGAATGTTTAGCTCTAAAGTTTTCAAACTGCAGTTGCAACCAACTCTCCATGTTGTAATCAATCTCAGTATCATTCATGTGGTACTTTCTTGTTAATTAGGAAAAGTGGATACTGGAGGGCAGTTGAAATTAATAAGAGCCACACAATTGTGCTGACTAGTGAATGCAGAATAGGAGCCTTTTATTACCATTTATAGGTTATTGCATATATTTGTTTCCCATTCTGTTCTGTATCACTGTTTTATGGTCAGCTAGATTTGGACACAGATAATTACACACTAATAAGCACTCTCTTTTTAATTTATCAAGGAGCTTTTGTATTGAAACAGAGGTGATCAACCCCAACATTATTTATTTCTTGAGTTGTAAGCTGAAAATAAAGGTTAGAGCTACATTGATAAAAATGCCACTAAACAGAACTATCTTAAAGTTAATCTTTAACTTTCTGTTTTAAAGAAATGTCAGCACAACTCCAAAATAATACAGTCACATGATATATTGTGCATGTAACATAAAAACTGAAGCTACTTTTGGATTCTGTATATTCTTTTGATCTGATCATAGCTATGATTCAGAAGGCAGTTGCTCTGATTTATGACACCGTTACATGGAGAAGGTTTGCAATCAATGAAATTATTTCCCCTGCTTTGTACAATTATGTTTCCCTCTAAACCCAGTAGCTGAGTTTCTGAATGGCATATCTGGTACTTAACATTTCAAGTCAAATTTCAAATGCAGCAACATATGCAACAGCTGCCCTCAGTACAAATTCCTTTAATAGCTTGCCCACTTTCCTATTGTAGAAGTTTATCCTGGTTTTCAGGAACTTGTCACGCTAAAAGGCTCTTGGATTCAGTGTAGGCTATATGCTGAAGAAACAGTGAGGGATAGTAGCTTCCACTGAATCATTTGTTATAGGTTTGGACTCTAGCTGAGGTCCTGGATGATTTGTGTTGCCTTGCTTTTTGTCTTGGCTTCAGTCCTCTACTTTGCAGAGGAGCAGAGCAGTGGCTGCTTCATAAGTCTGGTTAAACGGCTGTACTGCAGCCAAAACGGTGCTTACGACCTGGGGTTCAATCCCAGGTAGCCGGCTCAAGGTTGACTCAGCCTTCTGTCCTTTTGAGGTCGGTAAAATGAGTACCCAGCTCGCTTGGGGGGGGGGCATTGTGTAGCCTGCATAATTCACGTGTAAACTGCCCAGAGAGTGCTTGAAGTGCTATGGGGCTATATGTACGCAGCATGCTAAAAATTACTGTGGGCTAAAGGAGATGGGTATTAACCTACATACTGCATCAAAAGAAGTGATATATAAATCATAGTGTTTGAGGGGGAAAACAAATATATAAAAAAACCTCCCTGGTTCTTCTCTTTATTTTGTGGATGATGCTGCACAAGCACATAGGGATTGTGGAATAACTGTCGGTGAATTATGACCTTTCTTCCTCCTTCTCAGGTTGTTAGCAGAGTGGCCGCACAGCAGGGCTTTGACCTGGACCTTGGATACAGGCTGCTGGCAGTTTGTGCAGCCAACAGGGACAAGTTCACACCAAAATCAGCTGGTAAGAAAAGTTGGGGTTGTTTTTTTCCCCCTGTGGGTGGAGAGACTCTTGACATATTTTGCAACGTAAGTCGCTTTTCTGTAAGAAATGGTTAGGCTGCTGGATGGGTCAATAGGACACGTGCCATGTACTAAAAACGTTCAGGTATGATACCTGAACTTGGTGTTGTTCTTCGGGATCCTCTGTGTTAGCAATCTAGATACCAAGGAAAACGAGAAGTGGTGAATATTCCTACTATGCAGATGGATATTTCATTAACTCATCCATTGCAGTCACCCACATTCCAGGAATGCAGGAGTGTTACCAACGTTGTGGCTGCCCACTCTTGAGGCAAAAACTGGTGATCCGAATGGCTGTCTGCAGCAGGTTTAAAATTACAATAAACTGGCTCATGAAAAAAAAAAACTGGTGCAGCTAGCAGATGTCTACATAATATGATGTTCATATTAAGCCAGTTGCTGAACTAATCTGCCGCACTGATTCGCTCTGGATTTGTTTTGCTGAGCAAGATTCTGTTCTTCTGAAAGGGGAAAGTGATTTGACGTTAACCGTTACAAATAACATGCAGGAGATATCATGTGATGATCTGGATTTCTGTTGCAAAAGCTGCTTGCTTTTTTGTGGATAGGTGCCTTAAATGTGCAGTGTATGTTTTCAGGAAGGTGGAAGTGTTCATATTGAAGTGGCGGGTATTTATAAATGCAAAAGCTTGTTTGACAGTGTCAAATGCTATGGGGAAATGTTTGTGAAGCCTTTAGCGGCATAGGTGGGTCTCTTTTTTCATTATTCCTGGCAATATTTTGGCCCTAATTGCTTTTAAGTATTAGGGGCAGAATAACTGCCGAGATGCCTGTTAGATGTAACATTTTTCCTACATAAAGATTATCTCTGGTGGGAGCAGCCCGTTTATTTACCTATGAAACACATTTTCTGAAGTACATGGTTGCCTGCTAGTGGCCATGCAGTGACTAGAAGAACAAAGCACTAAATAAACAGTGGCCTCTCTTAGCATTACATGAATAGATCTCAGGTTCCTGCACTTTCCCTCCTTATTCCTTTCTTTGGCATGACAGCAGAGACAAAGAGATTTCAGTTCTGTTTTCAACTAGCAACATTTAGCGTTATGTCTGAACCACAGGTTTAGGGAAGTATGTCCAAATGGCTAGCCATGGTTTGAACTTGGCTTTTTTTTTTCTCTAAACTGTATTTTAGCAATACAAGTTAAATCCTCTTGTCTTCTCTATCCAGCCATGCCGAAAGAAGAGAGGGGAGCAACAAACTGATGAGCCGTAAGGCTTGTATACATACTCTTAGACTGTGGTTTAATATGGAGGGGGAAAATCTCTTTAGCCCTAAACTCTTATCAGTGGGTGCCAGGGGAACAGACTCTGGCTTGCCTACGTATGGTTGAAAATGATGCTCTTGTAGATTTGGGGGATTTCACACTATTCTGTTGCTGTTGTTTTTAATAGGGGTTTTAAAAGTAAAGTAGCATGTCTATGACCAAAGTTCAGAGCAATGAGTAAAAACAGTTAATGAGTCATGAATTGCTTTTTAAAAGTTGTGTTCTAGGCTCTGAAGATTGCAAGGGGGAAATGGTGCATGTTATTTCTGAAGTGGGATACAAGTATTTATTGTGGCATAAATGCAAAGATTTATTTCAGAAAACTAGTAATTATTACTGAAACATTGTGTTTTATTGCTGGTAATTTCTGTATAAATTGTTCTTGTTACATTTAGAATTTACAAAGTACACAGAACTTTATCCACAGTCTAATGACCTGTCTACTAGGTTCACATTGCCAAGTATCTTCTCTGTGTTCTTTTTAAGGAATGAGTTTTCTTATATGAAGCTTTCCTCTCCATCTCAAGTTATTTGTTTTGTTTGCTGTCATGAACTTTCTTTCTCTATGTGCTCTGTCAGAGCAACTTCGTGTGTGACCTTGAACTACCATCCTGTATTAATATTTTTTAAAAGAGTGCCTGTCTGCCCGTTCCAGTTGTTACCATATCTCTGGTGCAATGCTTTTCCGATGCTGAGCTTATTAGGGTGTTGCCTCTTTTTAATATGTTTTCCAAAACTTCTAGGCAAACAAACAAACAAACTGTGTTTCCAATCAGTTCATATTGTTTGTCATGTAAGGTAATTAATGGATTGCAACCCCCTGTTCTGATCAACATTTAGTGCTTAAAACCTTTCCTTGTCTTCAGTTTTGCTGTTTCTCAGACTTCTTAATGGAAAACAAGCTGGGTTATATTTAAGTTATCAATTAAGGTGCAATCAGTCATTCTCTCCCCAATTTATAAAATGGTTTTAAGTTCCGTTCTCAGTGTGGTGGCCAAGAGACATATGGGTACCCATGCATGCACATATACTTCAAACTTCAGGGGGGGTGTTGAGCTTAAAACTGAGGAAGTTTTGAGACGAAGTCTTCTGTTCCAAACTCCAAACTTCGGGGGGGGGGAGGTTTGAGCCTAAAACTGAGGACGTTTTGAGACGAAGTCTTCTGTTCCAGTTGTACTTTCTTCAGTTTCCTTCCCTCTTACTCTCTAGCATTCTAGAGACAGAAAGACATACATTTTCTTAGGCAAGAGCTGGAGTAGTTCTGCTTTATGTCACTGGCTTAACACAAGCAAAAAAAATTGTTTTCATCTCATTATCAGAATCATCCCCTTTGTTCTGGTTCAGGGAGTTGGCGTATGTACTTCCTGTTTGGTTGCCAGCTGGTTAAGCATTTCCTTCACAGAGAGCTTGTCTTGTGTGTTGTTACCACAGAGGCCAGTATTTTAACACACGGAGACTTCAAAGACCTTCAGGACATAGTGGCTTTTTGACAAGCAGCTTCCTTGCTCTTTCGATTGATATTACTGAACTTTTAAAATATAGCCAGTAATAGTTTAACTTGATTGATTGGCTAGAAAAACATCACAATTGCACCTAAAATTAATTTTCCATTGGCAACAAATGGGTTTGCTGCAAGCTGGGATAGGACAGCACAGTTTGAATAGATACATGTGTTTATTAGTCTTTTGGAAAGAAAATAAATGCAACAAAATTGCAGAAAAGAACACTAGTCCAATGCATTTATGTGTTGAAGTAGCAAAGAGTTTTCTGGTGCTTTAAATACTAACAGATTTACTGTATTACTCAACAAAGGTTCATGGACCAGAGTCGGTTCAAATGTCTCGCTAAGAAGCCCTTTTGTTCCATAAGCCTTCTGTCGATTTTGCTGCAATAGACTAGCGGAGCTACCCATCTATATTAAATATTTTAAAGGAACTTTTTACTTGCTAATTATTTGACAATCTTGCAGCATTTTAACATGCAATTCTACATTTTTATACTTACATAAAGTAGGGTTTTGGCTGTAGAATGGGTCATTAAGAAATCAGTTGTAAATCTTCAGTGAGTTGCGCCAATGATCCTGACAGCTCTGTAACTGAGGCCAGTAGTTTCATGCCTGTTACGGATGAGTCCCATGATGCTAGAACTACACAGGGATTTCATGGCAAATACAGGATTTGTACTGGAAATATCTACCCAGTACTCTTAGCCACTACAGGACGTCAACAGTGGTGCTTCTGTAAGATCTTTAATCTTATTTGACATCTCTGAGAATCTTAGGAAGGCAACCACATGTGCAACAATAATTATTTTCCTTTGTTAAGACTATGCCCATTCTTTTCTGCTGGGTCAAATAAGATTCTGCTTTATGTTCTGGAGCCTTTCTAGCAGTCCATCCAGATTCCAGAACAATGCATCTAAGTGCAATGTGGATTCATGCTAGTTTGGCCAGTGCCTTGGTACCTTGTATAAGGATTTTCATCCAGAGATGCTTGTGCATAGTGAAATACAGTAGTTGCTTTTCATTTGCAAATACTGTATTCACAGTTCTATTTGTGAGAGAGTCTGATTCAAATGAGCACCACATGGCAAAGTGTTTTTATCTCAGGTACATGAGAGATAACACCTGTCAGTGGGACTTTAATGTCCCTCCTTATTCTAAGAGAACACATTCTCCCACATTTTTGGTTTAAGGACCTTCACAATTTAGAGCTCTTTTTATCTCCTTAGAGGAGCAATTCCTTTGTGAGGCCATCTGTGCTACTAACTGTGGGGTTTGAAGTGGTGATTTTAAATCCTGTTTGTTTAGAGTTGTTAATCCTCCGTTATCCCTGTGGTTAATTTGAATTCTTCTTAAAGAATACCTAGGGAGGGAGTCAAGTGCTGTGAACAAGTATTTGGAAATTAAAGTGCCATCCTGAAATAAGAGGACATGAATTTCTGGCCAATTTGTTCCATATGACCCCCAGTGCAGAACTGGCTTTTTCTCCTTTTGTAATAAGAATAAGGGCCTAGGACTGTTCAAAGTCTGTCGTATATTTTAACTCTAAAATTATTAAAATTTCTTGATAAATTAGGATTATATTATGATTGTCCTCCTATTGCAGATGGGAGCTTGAAGTATGGCAAGAAGAATAATGGAACAACCTCCTATTGCAGATGGGAGCTTGAAGTACGGCAAGAAGAATAATGGAACAATACTGTAATGGCTTACCTAAAGCTCAGACTTCCTTTTCAAGCCCAGCCTCACAAAAATACATTGACATAGCCATGTGCTAGGCAAGTCCCTGACTTGGTATGTAAATTGTCAGAGGCAGTGTTTCCCACTCAGAAAATAAATGAGGTATAATGTTTTTAAAGTGCACATGACATCTACTCCCAAAACATTTGTTAGGAAGTAGCTTTGACTTGTTACAGCACAGCAGGTAAGTTATGGGCTTGTTTGCCTCCACACAGTAAAAGCGTGATGTGTTTTTCTCCCTTCATCAGTCCAGTTCTGTGTTGAGTTCAGTGCTTATTTATGAGGTTTAGTCATAGTGGGGACCACTAGGCAAGCTGTTAGCTTTTATATTATCTGAAGGAGGCTTTGAATGTGTTTAGACCTTAAGCCTGCAAAGTGGTAGAAGGACAACATTTTCTTTCCAGATCTTCCATC